ATTTTCCCCCACTCTCCCTTTTACAGTATGCTATTTGTCTGTGGGAATTTCCCCTTTTACTGTAATTCACATTGTGTAATAAAAAATGCGAGCAGTGTAAATAATCCCCATGGATAATGGAATCAGATGTCATCGAAATCGATTGACCTGAGGAAATGCAGTGCGCTATCATTCGGGGGGATCGACCGGTTGGAAAATGGATTAAACTAGGTTGGTCAAATTCTCAGTCGCCTCTCCCGTGAGATAATCTGAAGCTCAAAGCGCATACGGATTGTTGATGGGATGCAATTAGCATTCTTTCATGATCGGTGAACATGGTCACTTGAGAGAAAATGTCCGAAAGAGTGGTAGTAAAACCTAACATCTGAGTATCCGTTTTAGATAGCATTTTACTGAACTTTACAGGTGATTTCCCCCGGGTTTTTCACCATCAGCGACATACTATATTCGGCATACAAAAGACTCGGCTATCATTTACCGAATTGGGGCATCTGTGGCACCGTTACAACATCCGGCTGTCTGTGAATGGTCGATTGTGTTGCAGCAGATAAGCCAGTCCTGCTCTACAATACCGAGACTTGGCCAATACGGGAACAGGATCAAAAAGTATATTATCGGTTTTCGAAGACTTCTGTCTACGCCGCTCTGCACGCGTCTGGTGGGGAAACCGGACAAAAAATGCTGAGGCTAGGCGCAGTTTTAGGTAATCGCGTTTGTCCACTGGAACAAGTAATCGATCTCCATAGACTAGGCTGGTTAGGAAATGTCACCAAATAGGTTACCACGGTGCGCGGTGTTTCCCGAGGCAGGCAGCGGATGGAAAAGGTCAAGGTCGGTGAAGCTAAGACCTGACACGAGGGTATGAAAGCTCTAACCAGGTCACTGCTTCACATAGATCCCGTTAGGCTTCCTGGATGGAGACCACGAGATCATAGTAATCGGAGGTTAGAGACATTGAGTGATAAGGCTGAGTGTCGCAAACTTCGGCGCGCATGTATCTAGTCATTATTCTTGAAACTCCAGTCTATATAAATGCTCTATCTTCACTTTGACTCTGTTTTCAACATTTCAATCTTTATTTTGCTCTTTTATCCAAATGGACAGCCAAAACAGGCATATGAAAATATGGTTAATGGTTGTAGAAACTGAACTGAACTGGACATATTGGATTCGGTTCTAGGTTCATCCAATAAATCATTCGGCCAGAAGATACCTAATNCTAATTGATCATAATTATCTTTTGATTTTCTCTGTAAATCACTCTTTTATCCATTTGCTTCAGTTGAAGGTTTCTAGTAACATCTTCAAGGTGTTTTAATTCCTGACAGTTTGAATAATTTAAGTCACCCCCAGCAAAAACAGTAGATATCTCCACCGATTGATTTTTCCCATTTCTATATGTACGATTGTCCTCTGTCCTGTACGTCTTTCGTTTTGGATTGCCTGTCACACGCGTTCGTTTGTTCACAGCTACACAATCGGTCAATAAGTGGGATTTCGTTTTTCTGTGCGTAGGACGAAGATGCGCGTGATTGATTTTTTTGTTCCCCAGTACGGATTCAGAGAAAACAGATCTCATCTCATATTTCGACGAGTGTGCATATTTTTGGGGGGCAGGGGAAGTCAGGTTAGTGTCCAAACTATTTTCTATAATCATTTTAGATAGAGCGCCCGACAATAGCAATGTACTACGCTAATCGAATAGGAATGCACTAAAATTCCCTCATCTTTCACTCTTAACGATGACCCTATTAGCTGTCTTCTATTTACCGATCATTCAGTTTGAACTGTTTTTAAGGTTCCAATGTGTGAGGCTGGACAAATCCTTGATTGCTATACATTTTTCGGAGGCGAAATTAGTTAGTGTTGTGATCGTTGTCCTCAACAAAATCTGTTGCAACTTTGAATGTGACACTTCCCGAATTGGGAACATCATTGAACGGTAACCTTTTTGGTTTTGTCAGGTAATGCGAAGTGTAACCGAAGTTTTCTCGGTATTTTTAAAAAATGACCCCACTTACGCTTCCTTTCCTCTTCACAGGGCTACCACGACCGATCTATCGATCGAGACAGTTGTCGGTTACGCGTTACCAGTGTCATGTGCGTATCGATCTCTTGGTTCATCAGGCGACTAGCTGCCTAGTAGTTGCTTATCTGGCTGTGGCATGCACTGCTAAGTAACGGTCCAAATTTTCTATACCCTCGTCTGATTTCCGCTAAACGTGGACGAAAAGAACGGGATCAGTATCCCAGCACAGGCTAGTCTAATTTCACTGATTCGAATTCATTTAGTTCACTGGGTGATACGCAAACATCTGACAAATGATTAGTTGTACGACATCAAAATATCACTGGAATTATTGGGCGATCACACGTTCTCCGTCGCATAATGCCTCAGTTCAGTTTCAGTTTTTACAGTCACTCACCGTACACTGTCTCGCGATGTTTCTAGTTGCTACCTTCGTCTACCGATTAGGTAAACCAATAATGTGTCAATGGTTTCAACTTAATGGAATCACTGTCTCTTCAAAAGCATTCTATGTAATTTTATTTTCCATACGAATAAACTACAATCACCAGATAAATTATTTTGTTCTTTAATATTCGAGCCCAGATTATTTTTGGTCATGGATAAAAATACTTAAATAAATAAGGCAGTGATAGTTTCAGTTACATTTTAAAAGTTTTAACCGCAGTTTAGTGTTCAGCATTCGGAATAAACTCTAACCTAACTCTTTAGCCTTGCAATTTGGCCTTCTTCGTACTACAAACGAATGAATGAATGAATCGATCAACTGGTCAGTAAATCAGTCAAAAAAGAAACAAATGCCACAGGAAAAAATAGAAAGGAAGAACTGTAAAAGAACTCAGAAGGAAATATTTTGTTTTATGGACTGACACAATTGTTG